TTTTAAATAGCACGTATCAATATGACACAATTAGTTCGGCTCGTGCAAACATGTAACAGAAAACGACAGACTTTTTCACAAAATGACGAACCCAAAAGCACATTTTCAATTGCGTCAGAGAGCAATTCTTAATGAAAGAAAACATCAAGAAAACGTGCATTGGTAGGATGCAGACAACAGACACGTACACACACACATACAAACACACACACACACACATACAAACACACACACACACACATACACACACATACATATATGCACAATTTACACACACAAGACCTAAACACACGCATTAGAAGAGCAGACTGGTGTCTTAATGTGCTTCAAACGTCTTCATTCAATAAACAAAAGGTCAGATTTGTTTACTCTAATTCTCCGAACCATCCATCCAACCATTCATTTATTCATCCAATTAGCAAGATGACCAGACGAATGTATGCTTCCGTGTGCGTATGTGCGTGTCTGCAATCGGTGAATGTACGTAAATCGTGTCTGTGATGTGTTGAATCCACAAGCATGGTTGATGACAGTTACAAATTGTTTCTATCAAAAATTTTAGGTAACATAATTTAGTCAAAAGTTTTAACTAAAGAGTGTTAAACAAAAAATTTCAACTGCATATTTTACTTTTCGTGTAAACTCAGTTCATTTTGTAAAATTTTGACTTTCATAGTCATGACTTTCATAGTCAACGTTTAAAAGTTTTGAAAAACAAAACTGACCACCCAGATTCCTGGTGAATGTTGCCGCCAGTTGTTTCTCCCAAATCCAAACGAACAACAATCAATTTCAGAGATATAAGTGTTGATCTCTTATGGATCTGAATATTTCACTAAACCATAAAACTGACAAAGTTGAAAATTAAATAAATTTGAAGTCTGTTGTGCTGATGACATTCAAATAAGTTCAGGAAGACTGGATCCTTCATTGATCAATAAATAACTGGGTGAGTAATGAGGACCTCACATGAATTATAATGAGCAATAAAATGATCTGAAGAACAACAAATTCTACATGTGTTTACATCAATAAAACATATTCTAGGATATTTTCAAGATTGCCACCATTGCTTAAAGTTGAAACCTTTGTCTAAAGTTGATAACAACTTACGATATTGAAATATAAATACAGCGTTCACGAGTAGGGATAGATTGAAATGTTCAAATGCTTCACAAGGCCCACTTGACATGTTTTCGAGTTGAAGTTTTGTATTCGCAGCGTGTTTCGTCAATCAGAAATTTGCACACTCATGTGTTATATCTACTAGACTTGTAATGCGTTGATACGCTGCACTCATCACATTTCAGTAGCTCTGGTTAATAGTCTTTTTTAGAAAATTTTTGAGTTACTAATAAAGAAATTACAATAACTCAAATGAGGTAAAGTAATGTTCATTGTATTTTGTAACATTAAAAAAAGTTGAGCAATGAAAGTGCGTTGTTTGCCTCCGAGTATTGCTTTCACTTCCATTTCCCAAGTAAATTTGTGCTTTTGAGAGGCAATTTTCAGTGGCGCGGATGCACGTAAGAAGTGCATTGATTGCATTTGGTGCATCACTCTGCTGCTAAAGTTGAAAAGAAAAGTAAATTTATCACGTGATGCCAATTGAAATATTAAATTATCTTACTTAAATATCTTAAAGTTGGAACCTGGTGCAATGGAACAATGCAAGGGTTTTGTTCAAAATTTTGTGTATAAAATCGTTTAACTGTTTGCAAAAGTCCAAAGTAATAAATTTGAGTTTGTATAATTAAGGTTGCATCTGATACGATGTATCAATCAGACAAATTTTTTTCTGCCAAAGCAATTTGGAAAATGTGAGCAGACGCACAAGCAAGAACTCGTCATCACACACACGCGCACACGGGCTCGTCATCAAATCAGTATATAAGTCGAACTGCCAGCAGAAATCAATGCGTGTGCTACAATAAAATTTATCTGAATTCATTCGAAAATTTTATTTGTCTGATTGGAAATTATTAATTTTTGATTAATTAAAAATCGATTTAATTACAATATAAATAAATAGGTATTGATTTAATCAAATATAACTAAAAAACGGAGTAACATTTAAAATTAATATTTGTTGAAATGTATGAAGATGTCACATGAATCATCTGTTTGCACGGGATAACTTGCAGATCTTTCTTAAGAAATACGAAATGGTTTCGAGACTTGCTTTCATCTCGTTCCTCCTCTCAACATTCTGCTGGGTGGATTTCAGCGTTCTTGCAGCGAGTGAGGTGGTTTGCCAGCCTGCCACTGCTGATGTACCGTCAGTGGGCAGCCACAAACCGATGCCTTCATATGGAGGGACGTCATCTGGTGAACTGCGGCTCCCACCACCATCAACACCAAATGCTACGACTATCGTTCCTGGATGTTCCAGCAAAGTTGTGTCTGATGACAATAAATCTAACGGAATTTTTAAAAAAATGAACAAGAAAAAAAACAAAGTAATTTATGCCAAAAAATATTTATCATCTATGAACACAAACAACAAATTATTTGGCAACAATAATATTACGAGCCAGCAAACCAAGCTGCATACTTACAAGATTCTAAGATCCAAATTGTTGTCGTCAACATTTGACACTAACTTAACCACAATCGCAAAAACATCTATCAACAATAAATCGTCGCCAGAAACCTTCCAGACAAAATTTACAACAAAGACAACAGCAGCACCAATTTCGAATGTAAAATTATCGACATCACATTCATTGAGGAAAATATCAACGTCATCAACAACTACTACCTCAGCCACTACAGCAGCAGCAGCAACAACATCAACGACCACAATGATGTCAACAACAATACGTAGAAGGCGCCAATACCGCTGGGTCTACAGAGCCGACACTCTCCCAAATGAAAAGGATGCATCCCACAAATTAGTCAACAAAAGCAGCCACAACAATGACACCAGCGATAGAAACACCACTTGCATCTATAGAGTCAACTACACAAAACTGCAGCACAGAACAGCGATGAACGACATCCACAAACACACCAACAAATCAAAAATCAGTTCTTCTGAAATAAACTTCACGGTTAATAAAAATATAAAATACCGAAACAGGTTTAAAATTTTTGAACAACGTCAAAATGATATGAACGAAAGGGACCAACAGAAGAGAGGCTTCGACGGAACCATCGCAACAGACAACGCTATCAACCGCAATTATAATGAAGTAAGAAACGAAGCTGACGTCATTAATCAAACGAACTGCGACCAACTTGAAATGCATGACGTCATCAACCACAACGTCCGCATCCACCATCAACACAGCAACAAAAGCAAGTATAATTGTGGAATGAACAAACATCACGTGACCAACACCAACGGCAAAATGAGCAGCAAGGCAAACAAGGGCAGACAAACAAACGGGCCAAAGTTCAAAAGTGCGAAGAGACAAAAACACAAAGCGCGTCTCATGAGACAGAATGATACAAAATTAAAATTAACTCACGCCACCACAATTGATAAGAGACGCAAAACCGACAACTTTTTCAATAACAAAACCGTCAGCGTCGGCAATAGTAAAAACAACAACACGAGTAGACTACTCGAAAACAGCCACGTCAGAAACAACAATAACAACAACAACCACAACATTACAACTAACTTCATTTTTGAAAACATCAGAAATACTTCAGATAACAATGCCCAAAATAATATGGAGGAGAACAATAAAGTGGAGAATCATCAGGACAGAAACATAAACATTGTGTTGGATGACGAGCCATCTGATACGTCACGTGACGATGACAACAACCGCACTGACGATGATGACCACAACCAGAGTGACAACAGCAGTGCAAACTTGTATGCAGCAAACAAATCATCATCAACCGTTCCTGACCAAAAAGAGTTAGTGAGTTCGAATAATGAGATTGTTGGTTCCAACGCAATTCATCGGCATAAATATGAAACTCAGCCTAACCAGCATAATTTGTTGCATCCAAAATACTCTCAGAATAAACAACTAGAACATGATCAGCGTAAATTTCAACGTTTCTATAAACAAGGAATAAGCGAACAGGCAAACACATCAATGGAACAACTTTTTCAAAACCACAAACAAAATGCGGACTACTACAAACGAAAAAGACCAGTCAAAAAACTTCCACCCGCTGTTCATAAAAAACAGCAGAACGATCAACTTTTCAACAACACTCAGCATCGTTTATATTCAAAACTATTTGCAAAACATCAACAATTAACAGCAAATTCATATAACTCTAAACCAACTCGAAATAATTTTAACAGCAGGCCACAGCAATCTTTTCAGTCCCATTCGTCAACCGTTTCAAATTACAAACACCATCCACCACACGTAGAAAGAGTGCCACAGCAGCGTCTGCAATTGCAACATCGAGCAAATCAACGCGAACAACATGGACGACGATACTTTACCTTGCAAGCCACCAAGACTCAACAGAGTTTTCCATTGTGTCCTGTTGAACCTCCATGCTACTGCAATGGTTCGGTGATTTTATCGTTGTTTAGTTAATGATGCACAAAAATTTTTTTCAAAGTTTTGCCAATATGTTTTGTTGGAAGTTAGTTTTTCTGGATGAGGAAGGGATCTGTTGTGGCCCTCTAGCCAGTTGTGCCAATAAATAAATAAATAAATAAAGTTTGATCCCAATTAAAGATTATACATCAAACAGGAAAAGTTAGCATGCGTGTCAATATCAAATGCGAGAACATTAATGAATTTCCAAGAATGCGAACAATCAACAACTTTGTGAAAGTCGTCGTCATGTCCTACCTCAGTCTGAAACATCTGCCCGATTCTGCGTTTGCTCATTTGAAGGTTCGAGCCTGGAGTGTACCGCTTCGAGTTATTAGTCAAACAAGCATTTTTTTGAGTTTTCTTAGAAATTAAATTAAAAAATTAAATCTATTCTGTAACAATAATTTTAGTGGGTTTCACAAATTTGTTACCAAAAACTTCTCAAAATATGAGCAGGTTGACGAACTCGACATCAGGGGCAACAACCTCACCAACAACGTCCATACCGCTGCTTTTGTTGGGGTAGGAAAGAATTTGATCTCGTTGAACATGGCCTGGTGCAACATGACCAAGCTACCAGCCAAACTATTCAGAAACATGCACCTTTTGAGAAATTTAACTTTAGCTGAAAACAGACTGAAACAACTTCATTCTTTAGTATTCAAAGATCTAACAAGCTTAGAACGATTATCCTTAGCTGGAAATTTAATAACAGAAATTCCAATTGCTCTTTTTGAGCAAGTGAAACTGATTCGCCACTTAGATTTGAGTTATTGCAAATTGAATAAACTGGCTTGGAATGTATTTAATGGGTTAAGGAGATTAGAAACATTGGATCTTCGAGGTAACCAGTTGCGTATCATAGAGCCTATGACATTTGCTGAACTATCCTCACTGAATCGTTTATCAATGGGTCAAAACCCACTAAGAAGATTGACATCAAAAAGTTTCAAAGGACTACATTCCTTGAAATCACTGAACTTGGCCGAGAGCCAATTGAAGAAAATTGATAGAGATACGTTTCGAGACTTGAAACAACTCGATGAGTTGATATTGAGTGACAACAAATTGAAATTACTGCAAGTAGGAACTCTACTTCTCTCCAAACTGCAACACCTGGCCCTGGATGGAAACAAACTAACCACTCTACCTCACGAAATAAGTTATCTACCCTATCTAAGACACCTCGATGTCAGTTATAATCACATTGCCCACATTGACAGGTTTGGAACAACAATAATGCTTATTAAATAAAAAAAAAAAAAATTATTTGTTAAAAAACTTAACAAACTTACACCGAAAATTTTTAATTATTCTATACGTGATTCCTATTATTTCATTATGTTTAACAAATAAAATTTATTTGGGCGTTTGATTTTTCAGATGTTTACTGGTGGACAATGCTCACTTAGAAACGTTGAATCTTCGAGAAAACCCATTTCATTGCTCCTGCTCCATGTTTTGGCTGAAGGAGACGAAAGAAAGGCTGATGCGCAGATGGACCGACCGGAAGAAGAACTTTCCATTCATTCCTGGCAAGTGCTCCACGCCGATAAACGTGAAAGGAATGTCTGTGACGAATTTCTTGGATCAGCACTGCGGACATGTTCTCGATGAAATTGAGGATGAAGAGAATAGAGCAAAATTCTGGAGCATGTTAGAGCCATGCAGAGGACTTTTGTGATAATTTCATTTTTTTCTACAAATTTAGATGTTGAATGATTTTCACGACTCTGCCAATATAAGTAAGCAATGCTTCAACGTCGGAAAACATGTAATTCGATGATTTCTGACATAGTGCATCAGTCAGTCAGTTTGCATTCAATAACAGCTACCAAATAATAAAACGCTGTTGACATAGTAATATCAAGCACAACAATCAAAATTGTAAATGGGACCAACCTGATAAATGTTTGCCAAACACTTGAACCAACCGTAAAGTATATGGATCCTGTCATTTTATATTTATCTTCATTCTATATGTTCAACGTTTATATTTGAAAACGTATTGTTTGCGATCCATTAGATTTTTTAAAATGTAAATATTTAATATTTTCATGGTTTGTTTTAACTACTATTAGAGTCATAAGATTATCTGGCTATAACTAAATGTTTTAATATTGTTATTTACATAAACTTTTGACTTTGGTATCTGGACGTCTGTTAACAATGTACATTTCATGCATTCTGATTTCAGTAAATCGTTTGATAGTTTATAATTTGAGGCACACGGCTCTGTAGAAATTCAGTTCACCATGTTCTTCAGCAATTTTGATTTCTGGAATATTATTTTTAAATTTCTGTAAATTGTAGAAACGTATTGTTTGAGATCCATTAGATTTTTTAAATAGATACCTACTTTATTGGCTAAATTTTAATTAAAACTTTTATAATAATAATAGCGAAGCTAGGCTGAAATAAAAATTTATAATTCATTCGCCAAGAAAATGGTTACATTTTAAATAAATTGAATATTTGAATATATCAATAGTACTTCTGCCGGGGCAATTGTTTGTTATCATTTGAGTACATTTCTCAATGGTCTCAATTGTTATCAATTATTAACTTTTTGAATATTTTTCTTGATGACCTGAGCAGAATTTTGCAATTAAAATAAAAATTCAGTTTCAATGTTCATTCTGTTTGGTATCGAAAGTTTTTTCAAGCAACATTTGAAATAAAATATTTCTGCGCTGTGCAACAACGATTCAACGCTTCAGCGGGACACAGGGTAGGTAACCAAGTGAATTGGTGCAAAATAGGTACAACACACCAACAACTTTAGCGCATGACAGGTGAGGATCATTCTTATCTTCATACTTACTACAACTGACGATGAGAAGATTCACGGTAGGGTCTTGACTCTAGACAACGTTGACGAGAGACCTAAATTAAAATTTGATCGGACGCAAAAACTGCCAAGTTTTTGCTTGTGTGGCCAAAAAAGGAGGACGAATCTTTTTAGCATAGCGTGAAAATGTTTAACCAATTTTCTACTTAAAACGGTGTTTCTTTGTGTAAAAACTGAGTTTTACTGAGTTGTAAGGAAAATATATTCTCTCGGCTTTCCCCTAAATCTGCCACTAAGTAGACTTGTGCTGCTCCTCTCGTGTGGTAACCTCATAGACACTTTCTTGGACTGTCTTAGGTATAATAGAAGTGCTTTAGACATTTCTTAAACTAGCCTCTCAGAATTTTATTAAATCTTTTCAGACTCACCGAGAGAACATTACACAACTGTGAAGACGCAACAAAAAATCGTCGTTTACGGTAATGCAACGAGTTGAATTTTGGCAGCAACAGGTCTCCTTCATCAGCTGACCTCAGGTGACTTCGTCTCGAATGATCTTAGATACCCATGTGCTGCTTGCTACCAAAAAAATCCCTGACCAACAGCTGCAAGTTAAATAAATATTTCTCACATTTATTATTAGCAGTGACGTAGTCAGAAAATTGTTGTGGGGCGGGAAGGCTTTAACCTTTTTGAAAACACTTGTTGCTGATCATTCAATCTTAGCAAATTTCGATATTCAAACCTGTCGTTTTACGTTAAATATATTATAACTTCATTGCTGCCGAAAGTTGATATAGTTGTCAGTTCAAATTTTTACTAAACTATAGAGAAACTTCGTTCACTTTACTCTTAACTTCTGCTAAATGTTTTCATTGCGGAAGGCTTCAACTCTTATGCTCCCCTTTGTCTACACCTCTGATCATCAGTGTTTCATCATGCAGAATCATGCTAACAACTGTGACGAACGAGGTTGGTCTATAGTGAGGCTTTCATTAATTTTTGTTTTATTCGCCAGGGATTCATCCATGAAAACATTTTGGACTAGCATGGTAGTAAAATAGATTGCTGATAGCTGGACCCCTTCTTTGTGCACTCGCACATGGTGTAATGGGTAAGGCACCTGGTCATGTTGTTGCACGGTGTGACTTCAACTGCAGAGGCATCCCGCCTATATGGTACAACGTCTTGTGTGCGACTCTACTTGTGCTCACGTGCGCTCTGTGTGTTTATGTTTCATATCTCCAAGAAGATATTAACAACAATATTAAAAATGGATTATATATGCACATGTATGTTTACTTTTAAAATCATGATGATGCAGATGGGAGTTTGAAGTTGACTCCACTGCATACGTGCTCCACGGAGGGGGCAAAGATGTGTGGCTGACGAGATCTTTTTAGATCTTATCACGTTCAATCTTTTATTGATTTTACACATAAAATTTCTTTTTTCTGATTTTTAATAAGAAACTGCTCCCATCGGGGTGTGCCAGTGCCCTCTAGATCAGCTACTGTTCATACGTAGACTGTTTATCAATCCCACAGTCTGAAACTATATAAAAGCGTTGAAGCTACAAAATGGGAAATAATATTCAATGTTTAAAATGCGCTTCTAAAAAAGACTGTTTATCTGGAATTTAATGAATATGAAAAGAATTCTTCAAACTCCATCAAACAAGTTTGTTAAAACAAAATTATTATTAAACTTAGAATTGCATTGAATGCCCGAAATGAGAATTTTTAAATTTTGAAAAACACAGTGTAAATCTAAATAAGACGGTTGATGTGTTTGCCTGAAATTTAAATTTTTAACGTTTTAAGTTTTTTCATCCAGAAAAATTACCGTTTTTTATCTAAAACTGGCGGTGGATTGCATCTGTATATAATTACTCAACTATAAAGGCAGCATACTTTGATCATTTCAACATTTCAAGACTTTATCTCCGGCCGGCTTTTATATTTTATCAAAAGGATGAGATCACAAATTAACGAGTCGTCCACTTAATCAGTTACAGAAGTTTCACACTACTTAATAAAATAATTAGGCGACAGACTGTTAATTAATTCAATATAGTTAGTTTCCTGGTAACAAAAAATTAAACACATGTAGGGATCAAACATTCAGTTAACTATCTTATGTATTAATTATTATTAAAGATTATTGCAATTTTCAATGTTACCTAATCTATGTTAATTTTTATGTCTTTGTTTCTCTCTCGACTTCTCCCCTTTTTTTCCTTAGAGCTTGTAAACGAAACGGTTCGAGATTCACGTGGGAATAAAGATAACATTTTATTACGCCTGTATTGTGTTTGTTTCATTTATTTTAACTCCCAACAAGGTGTCTTGTTAGTAGCAGAAGTTCGTGCTAACACACACTTTCAGATAATTTATTTCCAAGCCAGCACTCGCCAACAATACAATAACGTTTGAAGCGAATGAAGTAAATAGCGGTATAAAGTGGAGATGAGAGGACAATGATTGTTGTTGTTGTTGGTTGTTTTTGTTGTTGTTGCTGTTATTGTTGGTTGTTGTTGTTGTGGTTGTTGTTGATGGTCGTTGTTGTTATTGTTGTTGCTGTTATTGCAGTTGTTTTTATTGTTGTTATTGTAGTTGTTTTTATTGTTGGTTGTTGTTGTTGTTGTTGTAACTTGTAGCAAGCACACCACCCACGCCATCTCGTCAACCGCTTTCAAGCAGACAATGCCACGTTACTCAATGTTAAGATGTGCAATGATGCCTGATTGGCTGAGAAATATAGGTCGAATATAGAAAAAAAATTATGATTGGCTGGCTGAAAATTAGGTCGAGGAGTAGCAAATGAAACAATGGATGTGAAACTTGCATCATCCATTTGTTATTCAGAACAGAACAAAACAACATATAATTTAATAACCTCCAGTTATTTTGTATGTATGCATACATGTGTTGTGCATGTGTGTGATCTTTGTGTATTCTATGTATGTATGTATGCCTTTAATGTGAATGTATATTTGTATATATCTGTGTATATACATATATATATATATATGTATATATATATATATATATATATATATATATAACACTTTTATGTGTTTTCATTATCGATAAATATTCATTAGTGTTATATTTTACGATGTTGAAAGATTGTGAAACTAAACATTTACTTTGAATGAACAAGGAACCAATAAATAGGCACAGTATAAAAATATAAATATATATATATATATATGTGTGTGTGTGTGTGTGTGTGTGTGTGTGTGTGTGTGTGTGTGTGTGTGTGTGTGTGTGTCAAGAAACCAGCTATTGGTTTAGAGACGTCATATCAGCATGCTTATGTTAGTATGGACAAGTTTCATCGCGAGACGTCCTGTGTGATTGAACTTACATCGTCAGTTTAATAAATGTCATGCATATATTGTTTCAAATCTTTTACTGTCTTGCATTTTTGATACTATGCATGAAACGGAATGATCCCACCCAACTAACCACCCAACCAACCACCTAACTAACCACCCAACCAACCACCCAACTAACCACCCAACCAACCACCCAACTAATCACCCAACCAACCATCCAACTATCCAACTAACCAACCAACACCACACCAACCACCCAACTAACCAACCAATCAACCAACCACACAACTAACCAACCAATCAACCAACCACACAACTAACCAACCAATCAACCAACCAGCCAATCAACCAACCAACCACACAACTAACCAACCAATCAACCAACCAACCAACCAATCAACCAACCAACCAACCAGACAGCTGCTAATTCAAAAAGTCAAAACGTAAACTCGTTTTTAATGTTTAATCGGTCAATAAATTTGCATTCAGTGTGTTATTTACGTGGCTCTTGAATCATAACTAGAATATGTTATAATGAAAGAATCAACGTGAAGCAAAGTACTGTGTGTGTGTGTATGTGTGAGTGTATGTGTGTGTGTATGTGTGTGTGGTGTAGTATAGGTGTGTGAGTGTTAACCTAATGAAACGACATTAAGTTAGAGCCAGTACATCTGCCTCCTGTTGGAAGCTTTTGTTCTTCACGATTCATTCATTCTGTCGCTCGTTGTTCGTTGTTCCCACCTTCATTGGTTCATTCATTCATTCATTCATTCGTTCGTTCGTTCGTTCGTTCGTTCGTTCGTTCATTCATTCATTCATTCATTCATTCATTCATTCATTCATTCATTCATTCATTCATTCGTTCGTTCGTTCGTTCGTTCGTTCATTTATTCATTCATTCGTTCATTATTTACCGTTCTCTATTGTTCTTATTCTTTTGTTTGTGGTTTGTGGTTTGTTCTTGAAACCTACGCGTGCAACCACACACACACACACACACACACACACACACACACACACACACACACACACACACACACACACACACACACACACACACATACACACACACACACACAACACTTTCTTTTAATTACATAATCTTTTTCTAACTTTTCCATCCACCTTTTTGTTTTATCTTTTCACCCATCTTACTATTCTTTTATTTTATGAAAGTTATTTTCTCACCCTTGTTTAGTTGTGCCGTGTGTGTTGTTGTTGCGGTCTCGTGTCGTTGTTGCTGTCTCAGTGTTGTTGTTGCTGTCTCGTGTTGTTGTTTCTGTATTAGTGTTGTTGTTTCTGTATTAGTGTTGTTGTTGCGGTCTCAGTGTTGTTGTTGCTGTCTCGTGTCGTTGTTGCTGTCTCGTGTTGTTGTTTCTGTATTAGTGTTGTTGTTGCTGTCTCGTGTGGTTTTTGCTGTCTCAGTGTTGTTGTTGCCTGTTGTCTTTATATGTTATAAAGAAGGTTGTTGGGTTTGTTTACAATAATGTTTGTTCTGTGTTGTCTGTGGTGAAATGTTTGTGCGTGTTGTTGTTTTTTTTGTTTGTTGTTGTTGGTTTTGATATGGTTGTTGTAAAATGTTTTGTAGTGGGTTTGTTGTTGTGTGTTTGTATTCTGTTTGGTTTCAGTTGTTGTTAATTGCTTTGCTGGGTTGATTAGTTGCTGTTTTTGTGTGTTTTCATTGTTTTTTGCACAGTGTCTATGTGTTGTTTTGTTGCTTTTGGCTATGAGATAGTTGGGTTTTTGTTGTTATGGTTGCGTGTTTGCGTGCACGCTGTTGTTGTGGGGTGGTTGCGTTTGATGTCAGTTGTTTTGTTGATGGTTGTTGTTCTGAGCTGGCTTGTAGTAGATAGTCTAATGTCTTTGCGCTGTTGTGTGTAGTTGTTCTGGGGTTTCATTGTTTGCGGCTGATGTTGTTGTTTGGTGCTTTGTTTTTGTTGTTGTTGTGATGTTGTGCTCTGAATTTATATATGTGTTGTTGTTATGTGTGTGTTATTTGGGGCTGATGTTGTTGTTTGGATGTTTCATATATTTTAACTTATTCGTTTATTCAATGCCCTATGGATTGCTGATGCTCTTGTTGATTGATGATGATGATGATGAGGGTTTAATTCTTGTAGGATTTGTCCGTGAACGCTTAGTGAGGTGGTAGTGGTGTTGCTGCTGTTGTTGTTGTTTGTTGTTGTTGTTATTGTTGTTGTTGTATATCTTATGTGTGCATTACACAAATTTTATTCCATCAGTTTTGTTTTTCAGTGTTTTCTTCTGAAGGTATTTTAAATTTGTGCTTTTGTTGTTGCTGATTTTACTGTTGCATGGCTTTAGGCTGCTGCTGTTTTATGCCCGTGTTCTTCTTTGTTTGGAGTTGGTGTTGTGTTTGTTGTTTGGGTGAATAATTTGAGGTGCTGCTGATTGGTTGATTATTTGATTGGTTGTTTGGTTGATTGGTTGTTTGTTTGATTGGTTGTTTGGTTAATTGTTTGGTTGGTAAAGTGCAAAATGTTGATTATATTTTCCAATTTTTTTCATTAATTTTTATAGCGTAATATTTTGTAATTCATTTTAAAATAAAGTTGATCTTTAGTTCTAATCTTGATTCGTTGGTTGCCGGTTAGTTGCTGGAAGTGTTACTAGTCGTGTTGCTGGCTGCCGGTTGCGTCGCTAGGCAAAAGGTCAACAGGTACACAGGAACCTTCTCCTTCTCATCCTACCCATCCATCATCACTTGCCTCACATAATTGCTTAATCATGACAGTAATTGGTTCCGATCCATCCTCTAAACTTTCTTACTTGCCAATGCAACATAAATATTTCACTTGCACATTCCACACACACACAAACACACACAAACACACACACACACAACACATACACAAGTCTATATATATATATATATATATATATATATATATATATATATATATATATATATATAATATTTTGTATATAACGCATGTTAAACAACAGAAATTCTCATCTTAAATCTTATGCACAACCCAAATACATGTCATATGTATAAACTCTAAATATAAACTTAATATTATAAATACATAATACTTAATATTATAAATACATAATATATATACACAATATATATAGTTATATATATATATATATATATATATATGTGTGTGTGTGTGTGTGTGTATGTGCGTGTGTGTGTATACGTTGTATATACATGTACACTTTATACATTACGAGTGTTTGATGCGTGATGTAATGCATGACGCAACGACAAAAACACCAACCTAAATCCTACAAAACAACACAACACACACACATATATATTGATACACATACACACACACGCACACGCACACACGAACGCAGGCAGACGCGATTTCATCATTCATATATAAGCCAGCCTTCTGAGACCGCATTTTTGTTTTGTTTCGCACCGTTCTCCCAATGCATTCATCCAGACAGCGGATGACTTTTGCGATTTGCATTTGAAAGAGATTTTAATTGATTCGATAATTTAACAGTCCTTGCCATGATGGATATGCTACTGAGATTTCGTTGGTGATGGTGATGATGATGACGATGATGGGAATGTCGTGACGTTGAAGTTTCAAGGTTGTTGTTGCTATTAATACCTCCAGGTTGGTTCATTGTTGTTTAGTTGGTTCTTACCTGACCAATCAAATAAATTTAAATGAGTTTTTTTTTAATTTAATTTGGCGCGTCCGTCTGACTTTGTTAAAAATTTGTGTGTCACTGAAGAAAGTTAGCTGCTGAAGTGAAATTAATATCAGATTCGTGAACATTAAAGTTGTCTGGGCAAGGCAAATGTATTTCTTTGTTTTTGAATCATAGCCACACATTTTTTTATCCAATTTCAGGGAATAAAAACATCCCAAAAGGATGTTTTTTTATTCTTGGAACTGGATTTATTTCATTTAAGGCATCGTTGAAACATTCTTAACATAAACTGCGCGTGCAAGTTATAAACGTCACGAGAGTTTTAAACTTTGCATTGAAACAATCATAAGCAGGCTCAGAAAGAACGTACATTTCTTGTAGCCACGACAGCAACTACAGCAACAACAGCAGCAGTAGTAGTAGCCACACAACAACAGTAGCTCCAACAACTACAAAAGCAGCAGCAGTAGTAGCCACAACAACAACAGTAGCCAGGACGACAACAGCCGCAACAACAACGACAACAATGGCTATCCTCTGTTTAACAAATAACATCTATTGCTAAAAAGCAATTTAGCCAAAACACCTGGCAACAACCAATTATTAAACAACATTATCATCAACGACAAAGCAACAACATCGTCGTCATCATCATCAACCACAAAAATCATCATCAACAACAACATCATCATCAACAACCACAACATCATCATCATCAACCACAACAATCACCATCAGCATCGTCATCATCACCACCCTCATTAAACTTCCTCTCATCATCGGACAATGGATAATATAAAGTTGTTGATATTGGCTGCAGAGTATCTTGATAAAATCCATCTGTCTATCGGTGAGTAGAGATCATTATCATTACCAAAATCATTATCATTACCAAGATCATTACCAAGATCATTACCTAGATCATTACCAAGATCATTACCAAGATCATTACCAAGATCATTACCTAGATCATTATCATTACTATCTTCTACATCATCATTATCATTGTTTGCATCTGCTGTACTATGGGATGCATCATCACTTTCACCATCATCATCATCATCATCATCACCATCATCATCATCATCACCACCACCATCATCATCATCATCATCCTAAATATTAATACAATCACGTCAGCAATCAAAATTTGACATCATACTTTTGGTCATTCGGGTTGAGTTCATCATTGCAATCGCGACCATCATTATCATCATCATCACCATTTCTTCGTCCATCATCATCATCACCATCATTTCTTTCACTATTACAAGTATCTTTCTGTTTACTTTTTGTGTCTTTGAAGAAATAAATAAATAACTAAATAAATAAATAAATCATCATTTCTTCGTTCATCATCATCATCATCATTTCTTCGTTCATCATCGTCGTCATCATTTTCAGACTTGTGACGATTGTGTTATAATCCCAACGAAACATTTTGGGATGATGTCTAATTTTCAATTTTATCTTCTTATTCATCATCATCATCGTCGTCGTCATCATCATCATCACCATCATCATCATCGTCACCATCATCACCATCACAACGAAAATGGCTAGAAGCAAATTTCAATGAACCTCATACGAACGGTTTCCACCTGCTGGGAAGGAATGATAATGATGGCAATAATCATTGTGATGATGATGATGATGATGATGATGGCGATGATGATTGTGATACTGATGATTGTGATAATGATGATGAAGATGATGGAGATTACATGATCTTAGGTAAGCACAATAAGGACAGATGATGATGTGGATGGTGATGATGATTACTGAACATGATGACGATGATAATGATGATGATGATGATGATGGTAACAAGGTCTCAAATGGTAACCCAATACAATAATTTAGACATTCGAGAGGTAGCAATGATGATGATGATGATGATGATGGTGATGATGATGATGGTGATGGTGATGATGCTCTTAACGATGAGGATGATAATTATTGTGATGATGGTGATGATGATGATGGTGACGATAATGATTGCAATTAACATTTTTTATGACTAGCTGATGTGTGTTTTGTGTGTGATGACCGTGTTGTTCGTTCGTTCGTGTTTGTTTGTGTTCATTCCTTGGTGTTCATTCATGCATGTTCATTCATATACGTTCATTCATTTATGTTCATTCACAGATGTTCATTCATATATGTTTGTTCATTTGTGTTCATTTAATTATGTTCTTTCGATAAAGTTTATCCGTGTGTGTTTATTCAATTAACATAATTTATTCACGTTCATTCAACTCTTCATTAATATATGTTCTTTTAATTAGGTTGATTTATATATGTTTTTTTTATAATTATGTTCATTCATGTATGTTCATCCAAACATGTTTATTCATAGATGTTCACCCGACAAGACCGCGTGTGCCTCCACTGACTTGTTGTCTGTCGCCTTGTTTGTCTCCATGCGTCACATTCCTACTCATGTTTGTTTGTTTGTATGCTTACTACATTATCCATATTCTACATACACACTCACAAACACGCACACAGTCACGTACACACGCACATGCAAACAAATACCATTGTAGAAAGAAAAGAGAGAAAGGAGAGAGAGAAAGAGAGGAGAGAGATAAAAGATTCGGGTGACAGAACAGGAACAATGAGACATGAATGATGTTGCCGGTTGCCAGGCGACCAGAGCCAGCAACAACGACGCACACACACACACACACAACTTTTCTTTCACTGCACAGGCACGTGCTGCGAACATGGCTTGCCATACATGCATGGTGTTCATCACATCGCATTCATTTGTGTAGTTTGTTAGTCGTTTGTGTTCGTTGTTCATCCATTTTTTGTTGTTGTTCATCCATTTTTTGTTGTTGTTCATCCATTTTTTGTTGTTGTTCATCCATTTTTTGTTGTTGTTCATCCATTTTTTGTTGTTGTTCATCCATTTTTTGTTGATTGATGTTTGTCTCGTTGTCAGTCTGCATGTCCGATCGTGCCGAGGAGCGTTTAAGGGGGGATTGTTCAAGCAGGACAGCATGCGATCAATTTGTTTGTGTCAGTGGATTGTATGAATGGCGTCGATGTTTTAAAACGTTGAAAGTGATCTATTGAAATTGTGATCGTTACTCATTCAATCATTCAATCATTCAATCATTCAAACATTTAATCATTCACTCCTTAACTCGTTCAATCATTCACTCGTTCACTCCTTAACTCGTTCAATCATTCACTCATTCACACATCCACTCATTCACACATCTACTAATTCACTCATTCGATCATTCACTCATTCGTACATGCTACAAACACGGAAGTTGCTAAACGAACAGGCGAACAAAAAACACACACACGTAGACATGCATACAATCTAACGTAGAGTCGTGCGTGCAAACCTCCAACATGCATACAATTGAATCGTACGTGCATACAAACAGAACGCGCAAACAAACGAACAACATGCAAACAAACAAAACATACATACATACATACATATATACATACATACATACATACATACATACATACATACATACATACATACATACATACATACATACATGCATACATACATACATACATGCATACATACAATAAATACATACATACATACATACATACATACAATAAATACATACATACATACATACATGCACGCATACATACATGCACGCATACATACATGCAAGCATTCAAACACACGCAAACGCAAACATATAGTAGAGCGGTAGGTAGGTTGTTGTGTTGCTGGCCTCCCCCCAACGGCATGTGGACCGCGTCTTCATTCATATTTTGCCTTTTCCCATTCATAATGTGTCACCTGAGTACAATTTGCGTGACGACGACGACGATGACGATGATGATGACGTTGGGGGAAATGACGTTGATGATGATGATGATGATGATGATGATGATGATGATGATGATGATGATGACGTTGATGATGATGATGGTGATGGGGATGATAATGATTGCACAATGATGATCACAGCGATAATGATGACGATAGTCTTATTTTATTGCCAATTAGCTTCTAATGAAGATAGTCATTGGCGAGGTTATTGATGAATGTTGATGGTGTTTCTGATAGCCAATATTGAATTAATTAATGAAAACTTACATCGTGCTGTCTATCAGAGGCCAACACCGCCTAGAATCAATCCAGCTTTTGGTTTTTCTAAGTTTAGGACGATTTAATTTTTGTAGTACCTCAGTTTGTTAGGGATGCTAAGAAGCTTTAAAATTGCAAAAATTTCAATGACTGAATATAATTCAAGGACATGGTTAAATTTCAAAATGAAAAATCGAAGAGTGCGAAGAGTGTGCACCTATACTTCTCGGCGGGTGAGGGTTACAATGGACCGCTTCATACCTGGTGCTCTATTCTACTTATTTTTAGCTCTACTCTTTCATCTACCTTACCTATTAATTCTAGTGTAGTTCAGGGCTCTGTCTATGTGAGAATATTAAGTAAATGGAATGATGCATGTATTATAACGGTTAAGTTTGTATAGATATATTGGGATATGGGGATTATGGATTTGTAACTGGGAATTGCTTATCACAAATGGTTTAAATTAGAACCAACCCAAACAATTCCTTGCACAAACACAAGCACACGTACAAACACACACACACACACACGTACAAACACACACACACACACGTACAAACACACACACACCATACACACAAGCACAAACAACTACCTACCTAAACAAACCTTACACATACCTTACACATGAAAACATTCACAAACGCAGAATACGAACACGGATATGCATCTCCATCTGTTGACAACACAACCAAAGATGTTGATGACGACAGTGACGCAGATGTTGACAACTACAACAACAACAGCAACAAAAACAAAAGCAACAAAAACAACAGCAATATCAACAACATATACCTTCCTTCATCAAACAACCTTTGTAACATTCCACTGAGAGATCACAAACAACATCAACTCTCTCAATGCGATCAACAACGACACCAAAAACAAGTTGGAAACTTCCAACTACATCGACACCATCATTCCCAACAACAACGACAAAAACCACCACCACCACAACAACAACATTATTTCCAACAACAACATCAACCCTCCAAACATCACAGACACCAAAGCGAGCACGGCAAGCAGATCAAAAAACATCCACCACCACTACTACAGACAAATCAGCCCAAAAAACCACCAAACACCAACTCTGCTACTACCTCCCCCAAGTAATGTTTTAAAATTATTTTGAAAAATTATGCGATGATGATAGTAATGATGATGGAAAAGATGATGATGATGATGACAATGATGATAATGATATGCATATAATTGTTGAGGTTCATACATGATGATGATGATATTAACAATGTTGGTTTGAAAATGACATTCATTCAAGTTTGAATCAAAAGATGGTGCTACTAACTATTTCGACAAATTGTTCTTGTAAATAAATTGGGCCATTTTGGCCTGACCAGTATTAAAATAAGTTTGGAGATTAGTTCGTGATGTATGAAGGATTGTAATTGCCTGTGTCTGTTGCTCATTCAACATACCCAACAACTTTTAAACTTTTATTCAACATACTCAACAATGTTTAACCTTTCATTCAACATACTTAACAATGTTTAACTTTGCAGATTCAACCACAACCAATCTGAAAAACTCAGGTCAGTTTTTAAAACCTTCAAGGAATATAATTATTTTTAATCAATTCTATTCAGTTATTATTCAATATATGCATGACTGATTTTTAATAGCATACTTTTGTGAACACCAACAGACGCGATTTTCTGAAAAGTTGTTTCAACCAGTTAAAGCAAGCCATTTATGAGAATCAACAAAACTCATTCAACAACATCAACAACATCAACAACAAACACCTTTGCAACAATCACAAATTTGCCGGCATCTGCAACAACAACAGAAACATCAACAACATCAACAACTCGAGAAAAGCATCTCTCCAACAAATTTTGAACACAGCAATCATCGTCATGAAGGTTTGTTAATTTTTGAAATTTTGATTTGAAACTGCTTTTTTTTGTTATTTAACTTTATGATTATTGTTTTTATGCTCATGGCTTCTCCATTCTCTGTCAGTTGGCACTACATTGCTCTATCATATGTGTTGCCGTAAGAGTTTTTTTTAAAGAGATCATGATCATTTTTGATCTGAATAGTGAATAACTAATATTTTCCAAATTATTTCACATCTTCAGTAAATTTTTTTCACTGATCTAATAGTTTTTCATCAAATTGCACGTTATAGTTGAGAATCTCACGCATTCTAAACATCTGTCACAATCGTCAATTTCTGACAATGGATAGTATAAGTGTAGATAATTGTCGCCTCGCAGGGCTTAAAACAAACAAGTGCCTCCCATACTGAAAGTATTGAATCGTTACGAAACGAACGTCACAGTTTGATGAGTCGCCTTATGTCGCTTCGACAGCACGACGGATCAACCTCCACATCGTCATCGTCGTCATCATCATCCGTGTCACCTTCTTATCCATTATTATCATCTTGCAATCCCAGCCCAGGTTTTTATTTTACGAGCTTATGAATGAATTGGTCTATAATTTATTATATGAATTCATTGTTCATGAAGCTTATTAAACTTTGTTTCGTTGACAAAAAAGTCTCCTTATTCCATAACAATCCTTTCACCGTTTGAAGCCAAAATACGAATGAAACTAAAACGTAACCTCACCTAGCAGCACAAACCCGCATTTTTGTATTTCAGCAGAAGCATTCACGTGCGTTCATTAGGAATGCAATCTGCCAAAATGTCGTTGCAGGTGAGCTAATGTTTTTGAGAGCATGGTCGTCATGCTGGTTGTTATTTGACCTGAGTGTCACTGAACGTAAACATGCGTTGTTGATGTTGAGCGCTCCTGGCGTTGGAATGAATACAATGCTTGGTCGACAATCGAAATGTTCAAGTCGTTTGAGTGTGGAATTATTTCAATGATTTTTATTTTACCGGATGAAACCTTCGCGGGTAGGAATAAGTACGTCTTATAAAAAGTGACCTCTGAAAAAATTTTGTACTGGAATTTAAGTTTTTTGATTAGTTAATTAATATTACTGCGACAGAATTTGTGGATGTGACTTCAGATGGCTCGAGCAGTCAGAGCGAGGACAGTGGATGTGGCTCGTGGCTCGATCTTCAAACATGAAAGTGTCCGAATCAGCTGGCGCCGTGAAAGTTTCCAATCCAACATCTATTCAAATTACTCTACGATATCTAACAGCCAGTATCGTTTCGCTTTTTATCTCGATATATTATTTGTTGAAGTCCTTCTCTCGGAAGATGTTGTTGATGAGTTTTCAACAACAAATGGAAGTGTGGAAACGTTTGTAGTCAGTGAAAGTTGCAAGTTGATTTGATTAATTTAAATTTGAAATGCAATTTTTTTAAGAATTTGTTTTTGTTGTTGAATATTTTGTTGTTATATTGTTATAAATGTTTGTTTTTTAAATTTGTATAATTATATTGAAAAAATTTAATTTACTATAAATAAATTTTTTCAATTATTTTTCAATTTTTTTTCAAAAATCTTAAAAAGTACTTCCAAAAAAATTGAAAATTCAAAAAGTTTTTAAATTTCACAGATCTCAAAACTAATCTGTTAAAAATTTCATTGAGGGGCGTTTTATAAAACATTTGACCCATTAATTGATTGTTCGCATTTGTAACTCCGCACATGCTTGCAACAGATGTTAAATTTTTAAAAATATGGAGATGGATATGCATATCGGTAGTGGGTACATTTCAAAATATCGTTGGTATAATGTTCATATTTGAAATGCATCCGCCAGTCTTTTTCGATGCATGATAGGATTATCACAAATTTTATTATTTAAAAACAAAATGGAAGTTGAGACTTCGGTATAATAAGATGTACGGTTGGAAAAGTTAAACATTCGATCATTGTTACTAACCGGAACAAAAAAATTCAAAAATTGGTAGGCATGCTACGTATATGTACGATATTGGAGTTTAAGTGTTAACAAATTACTAAACTTTCAATTTTTGTCACTATTTTACGATAGATCTGCTTGAAAACGCGAAAATTTGTACACACAGACTTGTACGAATAATTTTGGTAGACTAGTGTTCAGAAAGTATATTTTTTCTTCGGTGAACAATAATTATTATCTACAACTGGTCCCCACCCATCCGTTTCTGACATTGCAATCGAACACCAATTAAGGTCACCATCTCTGTATTTTTTTTTCATCAAATTAAGATAGTATGAAAAGCCCACACACACCACAAGTACATATCGTGTTTTTTGTTCAGTTTCCACGGTAAGAGAAACTTTAATATCAACCAGTTTTGTTGCTTTTTATATGCGATTTGAGAAAGAAATTATCGTCCCATACACAAGGCTCGTAACAAAGGTTCATTAATATTTATTTTACTTTGATTTTTCGGTCATCAGCGTTGCGTTGCAATATCGTTAGCTTTGTGTGAAATTAACGTTTTGAATTTGGTTAATTAACGTTATAGTTGTAAAATGAACGTTGAGTATTTAACATTGTAGACATTAAGTGATTTAGTATTATTAGCGTTTCTATATTACTATTGAATATCGTGTTTTTCTGTTTAGTTTTCAGTTTCAGTTTGTTGTTTTTTTTTCTATGCGATTTGAGAAAGAAATCTGGCAATGCTGATTGCATAACGTTATTTCTATCGTCAAATCATTTTATGACAGAACTGGATCGATATCTTTCACGAGTTTGTATTTTAATTATTTAAAACGATCAATTGAAATTGAATAAAAAAATATGGCCCAAATTTTTAAATGAATCAAGAAGTCAATTTGTACAACTTTATTCATAATTTCAAAGTTATTTTTGTTTAACATTTGCAAATTACTCTGATAACGTTTATCATTTAACTGTGAACGCATCGTTTTTGAAAATCCGGCTACTTGTCCATAATTTTTCCAACTAGTATGGTTTCTGGCCAACCCAATTGCCTCTGTAAAATAAATAAAAAGATAAAAAGTTACAAAGAGTCATTTGTAAAAGGTGTGGCTTACGGAGGCAAGTAGTTACAGACGACGATGTGTCCACCGCGGAAGGAAGTGCCTCCAATGCTGTCGCAAACTTGAGCTGCACAGCCTACTTCAGTGGTGGTCGCCCAGACTATCTGTTGTGTGCGTGTTAATGTGTTCCATCAAAAACGTTAATTGTTTTTCAGTGTTTACCTGCCTACCTGTGTATAATGTCCACACATTTTTCCATGAGTGCAAGAATTCGCAGCCAAGTTGTAGTCAGGTTTCTCGTTATACCAATTCTGAACGGCTCCGTCGTAATTTGGTGACTTGACCGTTGACACGTAGAGATTTTGTCCGATGTGACCAGAGCCAGCCTCTGGGGGTTGACCGTGTTTGAACTGGCACCCCTTAGCCCAGGTTGCTGCGTAGCCTGCCAACTTGTCACTCCATTTCTGTCATATAAAAAATTTTCTCGCTCGTCAAATTTTAAAATTGTACTTGAGTGAAATTTTTAAACCAAAGCAAACTTTTATGTGAAGTAAAAGTAACGGTAAATTTTATTTTTTGTTCATACTTTCAAACGTTCAACCATTTGTTATATTTCCATATTTTACGGTACGTGCATAGAAAATAAAAGTGTTCTTTTTAAATTGTTTGTTTAAAAATTGCTAGCATATATATGATGCATAAACTTTTATCAAGCAGAATAATTTAATCGTTATTAAATTGGTTTATGCAGATTTTTTAAATATAAATTTCATTTTCAAAAAAAGATTCGCGACTGAATAAAATAAATAAGGAGCAGAGATGTGAATATTTAACCATGGGCTGCATTTTGGATGATCCCTCCTGACTCCTCAACTTGTTGTGTTTGTCGACGATCTGCTGCAGTTCAGCGGCAGATGGCACTCCAGCACGACAGGCCACAAACGCTTCAACCAACAACAGACATGAGAGTAAGTAGAAGTTCATCGTTGGCGTTTTTCTCAGCCTTCCTTCACTAAGCAAATCTAATATTTCCTGTTTCTTTTTCGTCTTTTTTATACTTTTTTCCAAATAATACGATTGGCATATAGATTTACATCTATTTATTATAAAAATATAGAAACAAAACTAGGATGAACTTCGTATCATAAAAAATCATTTAACACAGTCTATTGAAATTAATATTCTAGAATCCTACCGAGTAACACCTTACTGGTATAATTGAATTTCATAGCCAAGGCTCGCTTCTCTTTTACTCGACACTTATTCGTGACATTTTTAATTTAATTTAAAAAATTAAAAATTTATTTAACGTATTGTATTTCTAACTAATTAATTAATACCAGGTAAACTAATAACATATCTACTTATCTTATTCGTTTGTCAAATTTCATTCTACGGTAGAAATTATTTAAATAAAATTGAATTGTATTATTTTTTAACCTCTGTTAACCTTGCTAGAATAAATTTTAAGGTGACATTGGTAAGAAATAATTAAGATTAATTTCAAATTCATTCATAAGATTCCATTATCTCACGCGGTGATCATTACAGAGTTACAGATTAAGCGTTCACTTGAATTTGTAATAAGGCTATAATTAAACATTCCAAAGGAATGAACTTTCCTAAGATGAGAACTAATCAACGCCCATTTCTTGAAAAAATTAAAAATTAGTTATCACATACTCGTGCAATTAATGTATTTTACATCAACTGCATCTCAGAATTATACAATGTAATCATCAACCTAAATTAAATTTCAGAGAAGGTAATATTTAGGAGTAATGGAAAGCATGTGTAATTCCAACACAAAAGGTCCTACCATGAAAGGCTCCATACAAATAGCGCAAATATCAGATTTAAAATTTTCTTTGTTAAAAAGCAAAATGTACTGCCTATTTCAGTGACTTTTGCAAAAAACCTGTTCTCGTGAATGATTTTGTAAGTAACATCATTTTCAACAATAGTTTCCTATTGAACGGAAGGTTTCCTTAAAATGGAGATCAATTTGTCCTGGGTCTTTCTCACGATGTCATACTGCTCGTCAATCGTTAATTCTCTAAATTTCGTCAACCAACCACCGCTCACACTCACTCCACTATTGTTGGCCGTTAAGTATTCTGACGAGTTTTTTTATCTCTTCCTCGGAAAATGTTTCCAAATGATGAATTTTTCTTAGTTTATCTGTGCACAACATGATCTGCTGAAACCTGCTCGCTTGTAGTAATTCAACCCGTTCCACGTCAGCGTCAGTTACGTCCAGCTCTTTCATTTTAAAAATATTTTTGAATTACAACTATTATCTTGGTATGTATCCCAAAATTTTATATCCATATCTCCAGCTAATTATAAACCGATGCATCATAGCTCTTTATAGAAACCTTGGGCCAAGAGCAACCTGATAATTTAATATGGTGCATTTGAAAGGATTTTCAGTCTTTTGGTAAATTGAGGATCATTTTTGTCTATTTTGACTGATTTTTTGTGAAATTTCACTTTTATTAGTGAAACGTCTTTATTTGTCTTAGCGAATTTAAATTAGTTATATTAAAATTATCGATAAAATATAAACAAAGCAAATTAAGATGGTGCTAAATATAAAGCTGCGAAAAACTGCAACGAAACATGCGGTTAAAAGCAAATAGTAGAATTAAAGGTGTCGGTAAAGTACAAACACGCAAATTACGATAGTGTTAAACACCAAGCAACGAAGAAGTGCAACGAACTATGCCGTTAGACAATTGAGCTATAGTTAATTTGGAAAATTAATTTGAATGTATGTTTGTTGCAATGAGATATGGTCAGATGGGTTTAGATGATGGATGGGTGTATAAAATTAATGGTATTAGTTCAAAATGTTGTGAAGAACCCTAACCATATACTGTATGGTTAGAAAAACTTAAAAAACTGTGAAATGAAGCCCCATAATCATTCATTTTTTCACACATTTTGTACTAATACCATTTCCAAATACTCAATATAATTAATAATTGTTTTTGTTATTTAAGTATAAAATACAAGACTTTCTAATGTATAAATAAAAATTCATTTTTAATAATTTACTAACCTCCTATAAGGTCAAAACTCGAGTATGCAGCCACTGTTTGGTGACTGTAGCGTGCTAATAGGATGGTGCGTGAATGCAAAGGACTTTGCGACACCCATCGCTTGAAGTTGTTAGAACTGCCTTCTTTGAGGTATAGAAGAACATGGGAAGATTTGATAACGCTATACAACATCGCCACCGATCGTGTAGACAGAAGATCCTCTCCAGAAGTTGATTTAAATGTTGAATCACGAACCAGAGGACACCCTTTCAAAAGTTACATGTGCAGAATTAAAACAACAACAACAACAACAGAAAATTCTTCTTTACCACAGGATCTTTTCAATACGGAACAATTTGCCAAAAAAATGTTTGAATCTGATACTCTCCTGGAGAATTTAAAATTAAACTTGAAAATTATATGTCTAATAAAGACTTTATTTCTGATTATAATATGGACAAACTATTTTTCGACTTTCATATACTGTTTTCATATATGGCTTGTTTTTGATTATAACATGGACAGGGCACCATTGTTTGATTATGTATATTCTGTTAATGGTTTATGTTTTTAGGCATGGGTTGGTCAAATCGACTTTAGTTTGAGTCCATTATAAGAAAATATATTATATTATATTTATATTTTATTAATATTTTATTGTATAGCGATAACGTAAAATAGAAAAATATTACATATTAAATTAATTTATGGTCGTTGAGAACAATGAAAAATATAAAAGATGGTAATACATGATAAATTCATCTGCCTAATGTTTTATCCCCTCTACTAACTAAACTCATAGTTTTATTCTTATACTCTAGCTGGTTATTCAAAAAATTTATTAAAGTTTTGTTTGAAATTAGACCACTTATTTGAATATGATATGCTATACACAATTTCATTATAACAAAGTTTCATTGGATAAATTAACTCCCCCTACAATGAAACCACATTCTTCATCATCATTTAATTATGTAGTACAAGAAGGAAAAATAAAGAAATTAATTCATCCATGATTCATGCGTGATTCTATATTTATATTCCATAGGTATAAATCATCTTATTAATAAATTTAAAATATAGAGAAAAGATATGAAAGTTCTTCAGAGCCTAAAATAGCGGTAAAATTGGGATTTAAGAATGCCTAGTAAAATGTGTTTGGGTGAGATTGTTTGCAATCTGATTCGATGCACACAGCTCGATTTTGCTGTCAGCTGAATGGGGCTACCATGATCGTCGACCCCAAAGTAAAATTCATCTGCTGGTTGGAGATTTTTCTGATTAATATTAATAAGTTTCTCATAAAATGCTTTAATTGAATTTGTCAGGTCTAGCATGGAATTCATTAAAGATTGCATTTACTCGAAAGAAATAACTCTTTAAACAATTCATCACCTCTCAATTTAAAAATGCACGAATAAATAACGATGATTCTAATAAAACAACTCCTGAAAGAGGAACAAACTTGATAAACAAACAAGATAATATGAGGTGAGCAGTTGGTAGTATTGACATTAATATCAACAAAAAACCTTCTGCAACAAAAATTCAATTTTGGCTTTTTATAATAAAAAATGTTGACTGAGTCAAAATTTTCAACGATATTTCTGGTTGTCTTACAAAGTGAACGTAACATAAAAAGACCTTTTACGGTTTGTTGAGATTTGTTTATAGTTGGCTGACTTTAATTTTTCAAACTAATGTTTAAACCATCTCAGCTCTCCACCCAATGACAATAGAATTAAGATAAATTTAGCATAGTGACATTGGTTTTAACAGTGAAGTCTGTGAAAAAAGAACACCTTGACAGCAAATTTCTTGCTGCGCCAGAGTCGCCATTTAAAGACCACACCCTAGTTTGGTTAACTTTTTAGACATGTATTTTATGAATGTTATTTTTTATCACATTGAAAGCATTTAACGCATTTTTTTCATAACAATTTTGCTCTACCGTGATTTGTCAGAAAATTGTATAACTTGGTTTGTTGAATAAATGAAGCATGTTTAAGTTGATGGGGTTTCCTAATTTTAATTGATAATGTTGAACATTTATGACTATTAGTATGTACACAAAATTTTTATATCACATAATAGTGTTTTTTAAATTATTTGAAATTTGCATTCTGAAATATGTATTGTTTTTATTGATAATTTCATTAATTGATTTAATCGATGATTAAAATATAAACAGCAGCAACGCGCCTGTGTGCAGGACCTGCTGTAAGAATGAATATATTGCCGGTAAGGGTCAATTGACATGTGGCCCTTAAGTTTAGGAGATAAATGGGTTGATGCATTTTTTAATACATATATTTAAAAATTAACCAATCTAAATTTAGTCATTGAGCGTTACAAAAACGTTCCCAATCCTTACTTTTCAAATAATTTACTTCACTAAGATGAACTTTTATATGTGTAATAAATGAATGAGTAACATTTGAAAAAACTTTAGTATAATTGTTTAGTATAATTTTCCGTTGCTATTTCAAACAATTTTTAAGAAACCTTTAACGTTTAGAAGCCCATGATAAGTATCGGAGTTGAGTAGTTTTGAAAATTTAGTTAATATGTATTGTCCAATAACCTTTTTTTTTTACAAAAAGCACTGTTTTTATGCACAAAAACACCGTTTCAAATAAAAAAATTGTCACAAAATTTTCTTCGAATAATTCAATCCTCGTCACAAAAATTTACAGTTTTTAGCTCCCTCAAGTCAAATATTTTGCCTCCTTGTCAACTTTATCTAGATCCACCTTTGACCCATTATGCCCACTTTTTTAGGACTTTCATATACGAGCGTGTGTGTTTGTTTAGGAGTGCTAAGTGTTTGTAAAATATATAAAAGCCTACTCCACATTTTTCAATTTACTTCTTTTATGTATAGAAGAAGTTTGACATTGAAAATGAATTTTATTTGTTTTATTAGCATTTTGTGCGTTTTGGAGATTTTGAA